TAGAGCGCAGTGACCGGGAGAGAGGCTGGGTGTGATTGGAGGAGAGAGAGAGAGAGAGAGAGAGAGAGCCCAGCCTGAGCTGCCTGTAATAAAATCTCCCTTAGGCATGAAAATACAACCTCCCTTCAGGAACTGGGTCTAGATGATGCTGGTCTAGTTATTAAAATAAAGATGTTACCAAGCCAGGATCTTGTGCCTGCCTTGGCCATAGGGATTTTCTCTCTGTAACTGATGCTGGCTGATGGATGAGTGATGGAAGGCGAGCAAGAGGCTTCTCTGGAAGGTGGGTTGAGGATGATCCTCCTCACGGTTCTTATCTGCAGACTCATAGCATGTGCTAAGGAGCATGGTGCTGGAGTTACAGGATGTGTGTGCTGAGCCTGAAATGCTCCCTGGGCTCAGCTGCCCTTGGGAAGCTGGAGCACAGGAGCACTCAAGGCTTCCTGCAGAATCAATACACACATTTTCCTCTCTTCTGACGCATGAATCCATATCTCCCCATTCACATCCAGAGCCGCGAACTAACCACTTGCCAGTGTCAGCCTTGCCATAGGCTGGAGCTGAGCAAACTTCCAACCCAGAGCTCAGCCATTGATCTTCAGCATGCCCTGCTGGGCCAGACCTGACCAATGACAAAACTTGGTCAAAGCATCTTAGACTTGACCCACAGAGTCTGCGGTTCTAGTCTAAAATCACCACCGGGGGCCTGCAGCACCCTCTTGCCATCCAGCACTGACATTCCCCCTCCCGGATCTAGATCTGCAGCCCTCCTGTTCTTCTGGTCCTGGGACCTGCAAAGCTCTCTGAATGCCCCTCAGTCCAGATCTGCAGCCCCCTCCCACCCCATTCCCTACTATTCTTGTCCTGAACCCCTATCTGGCTCTGTCAATGCCTCTTGCATTGCCCCTGCTGGTCTAATTCTGGAGCCGCCTGAGCAATGCTTGCCAATGCCCCTGTTCATAAAATGCTGTATGCTGGCATCACTCTACAGATAATTTTCATTATTTAGAGCTAACATAAAATTAATAAGAATTCATCATGGTGGTGGTTTGGGGATATGGACAAATATCCATAGGATGAGACTGACCAAGGTCACTACATTGGTGGCCAAACTTTCCTGTTTTAAGTCAGCTCCCAAAAGTGCTAGTAAGTCACTGTGACACATTGGACCTCAAAGTAGCACCCTGTAACCCCCATATTCATCATTTGTATATGGTTGTGATATTTCATACAAAGCATGCCTTGTAAGGTATCATATGCTGAAACTCATTGTTCTGTCAATATATATATATTGTTAGTGCAGATGAAGTTATGAGATTTGCTGTATGGCTGTTATTGAAATATGTTGTGAGTTTGGGAGATGCCCACGGCTAGCTCTCCAGTGATTAAAAGGAAGGTGACCCAGGTAGGTGTTAAATTATCATTGATCAGCAGGGGAATTGTAAAAAAGGGATTTACAATTTTGTAAGAGACAGTTGCACAACACCACACAATGGGGATTGCTCAACTCTGACTCAGCAAGGCCCACCATAACATGCCTGGGTCAGTATCTTCCCTGGGACATGGATTGAGAGTATAAAATAAAGAACAGTGGCATCATGAGACCACCTCTCCCCTTCCCCACATACACTGAAGGCAACAAGAATGCTGGGAAGACAAAGACTTTGAACTGGGAAAATTAGTCCCAGGTTGAGAAGGAAATTCAGCCTGTGTATTAAAAATTATAACCTACCTGTAACATCCAGTAGGGTGAGAAAAGCTGTTTGATTCCAATCTTGCTTAGTCTGATAAAGTTCAGAATTTAGACTGTGATTTTACTTTTACTTCTTTTGTAACCATCTTTGTCCTGTATGCCCATCACTTACAATCACTTAAAATCTATCTTTCTGCGGTTAATCAATTTATGTTAATGTTTTATCTTAACCAAGTCAGCTTGTCTAAAGTGCTTGGGGAATCTGCTCAGACTACAAAGGCTGCTGCAGGTCCACTATCCTTTGATGAAGTGGAGAACTAATTAATGCTCCTGCATTGTTCAAGAGGAGGTCAGGTGGATTTTCTGGTGTTTCCCATTTCCTGTTCACGAATGTCTTGGAGAGCATTCGTTCAATATAGCTGGGTGTCTCTCTCCATACTGGTGGCTGAGTGAGGATAGTTCCCAGAGGGGGTTGCTGCTTGTCACTAGCAAAGCATCGTGAGAGACAACCCAGGCTGAAGAACTAAGTGGGCACAGCCATTCCCCAGTTTCAGGTTGTACCCCGGAGATCTCATCACAGTCACATCTCTCCAACCCCCTGCACCATGGCCCAGAGACTCCTGTGTTAGAACACATTCACATAGCACTTACTGAGAAGTGGACTAGCAATGATACAACCTGCCCCACATCTGATTCCTTTGGGTAGATAAATTATGGTCTAATATAAACACCCTTTCCTACTAATGATATTTGGGACCTCCTCCCATCCTGAGGCCAGATTAATGGAGCGCTATATTTACGCCTTTGATAAAGGCTCCAATGCCCTTTCATATATGGACAGATCAATAGAACGCATACAGGTGTTTGGAGGGGGTGAGGTTTCTATTTCATTGTGCCCCATCCACCACAGTTAGATGCTGTCTCATGAACTCAACTCAGAAATTCCCAGGGGCTATCTAGGAGCTCCTTAGAAGGAACCTCATTTATTGGAAGACCCCAAATATATCTTGTGCCCCACACACACACACACCTCTGCCATTGTCCGTCTGCTTATTACTGTGATGGATTGTGCAAATACCGAGCCAGAATGTAACAGGGGTTACAAGACACTTAATACAGGATAAAAAATAGGACTCACAGTTCATTCCCAGCAACTATTCCACCCTCCTCCTCCCTCCACTATTCCTTGTCCTTCAGGAGCAATCTGTGTCACACATTTTAAAAGGCGATAACTCCCATCTTTGGTAACCTCTGGATACAGAGAGCAGAGCTGGTTGGGTGAAAATGGGTTTTGTTTCCATGACAAATTTTGACAAAACTGAAAATGTTTTCACTTTTTTCTTCAAAGTTTTCAGAACCCCCAAAATTTCAGTCCAAACCAACATTTTCAATTTTCAGCAGAATTCTTTCAATTTTATAATAATATATGGAGATATACCTATCTCATAGAACTGGAAGGGACCTTGAAAAGTTATTGAGTCCAGCCCCCTGCCTTCACTAGCAGGACCAAGTACTGATTTTGCTCTAGATCCCTAAGTGGCCCCCTCAAGGGCTGAACTCACAACCCTGGGTTTAGCAGGCCAATGCTCAAACCATTGAGCTACCGCTCACCGCTTTCAGCCAATATTTTTCAGCTTTTGATTGCCAACATGTGAAATATTTTTTTCCAGTTTTTGGATAAAACCCCCAATTATCATCAAAAATGGACATTATCATTTTGACAAAAAAAGCCATTCTTACTGAAAAAATGTTTTGAATGAACTATTTCAGCCAGCTCTCGTAAGGAGATGCTTACACCCACCATGCCAAATTCTGATCTCACTTACACTGCTAAGCTGGTGTAACCCTATTGATTTCAGCGGCATCTCGCTACAGTGGTGTAGATCTGGAGCAACCCCATTGACTTAACTAGTGGGTGAACCTTGTAAACTCCAGAACTGGGGAAGCAGTGGAGATGGACTTTCTGCATGGATCCATACCTCAGTGCTTTTAGCAAGTGCACCAAAGCTCCCATGCTGCTTCATGGCCATTGAATGTCAGATATCCTTAAACCACACACTCTCCCCTACCCCCCATGACCTCAGCACTTGAAAAGTTGGCTTCATGGCAAGAGTACAAACCCTTCAGTGACACAGCATGAATTCCAGCACCTTCCCAGGGGCAAGACATCATTACAGGAGAACCCGAGAAAGCCATTGCAGTCCGGGTACCCAGGGCCTGATTAGCTCTTGTGTGTGCTGCCCCTGAGTACCGCTTGTATGCTGGGACAATAACTGGGGAGAGTGGGTTGAGGTTGAAAGCAGGATGGAAACAACCCCACATGGCTACAGCCTTGAGTACTGACAAAGAACTGTGCAATGCAGTAACGCCTAAGACCTCTCTCTACACCCAGCTCCAGAAAGCAGGAAGTGCTTCTCTGACCTGGCTCCCTCCTTTGCAGGAGCCCCTGCCTCTAATATGGGAACCCCTCACAGCGGGTTTGAACTGAAGTAGTTTTAGCCTGTCCAATACCCACTGGAACTGGAGAGCTGGAGTGCCCCCAACAGCTGGGATGGGGCAACTGAGGATCCCTGACAGTGGATGTGGGTGGAGGCTGCATCTAAAGGGCTGAGAAGTCTGCATTCCATTCACATCTGCCAATGAGTCCTGCCATGGGATGAGGGCATTGGAGACTCCTCTTGGTCTGGCCAGAGACCTAGACCTGCACCCCTCTCCCTAACATAGGGCTGACAGAGGAGGACCAGGTTCTCCAGGGTGGGGAAGTCCACAGGTTCTGACAGGGCCCTAGCAGGCAGACAGGTTCTCCTAGAACCCCCAGTAGATCATAGGAAAATACATCTCCTCCAGCTACTGAGTCACAACTCAGGCCTTTCTACGGCTGATGATGTTCTCTCCTCATGTCAATGAGGACTGCTGGGCCTGCACGCCAAACCATACTACAAACTACACCAGGCCCCAGGAACTTTGTCAAAAAGAACCAAGCATTTATTTCCCCCCAAATGTAAGTGTCAAGGCACAAAATACTCCAGATTCTGGAATTTAAATAATTAAAAAATACCAAACCAGACCTTGATTCTAGCCCAATGGTATCTCCCTGCCTGAGTGGAGCCAGAGACGAGTGCTGAGGATGTCTGAATGCAGCACAGTGGGGCTTGAGTTCGAGAAGCACGGATGGAGGGTGAAAAAGGCAGCCAGGGATCAGAAACTATGCATAAGGCAGGCTGGCCGGACAATGCTGGCACCTCCCTGACTTTGGTCTGCCCCTTTATGTTTCCACTGGTGCTGTGAGCACAGCTTAAATGACTCTGCTCCTTTTATGGCCCGGAACATTCTGTCTTGGGCCCCTTAACTCACAAACATTTAGTGGCCTGCACAGGTCTTTGTTACACACAAAAGCTACATTAAAAGGAAACTATTTAGATTGCAAAGTCAAGCGATCAAAAGTTAGGAAATGCCAAAATTAAGGCTGCCTTAGCAATCTAAATTTGGTCCCTGGTGCATATGCAATATGACAAAGTCTTTAATTACACAATCTCATACTGTTTTTTCCATCATGGCACAGGGTGGATGGTGTTCCCTTAATGAGCAGCTAGTCAATATTTTGTTTTGGCCTCATTGTTCCATGTGAGGCCCCTCGCCCCACCTACTGCCCACTATTCAAACCCTGCTCTGAGACAGAATTATTCATTTCCCCATGGGCTTTTCTCCTGCACTCATCATTAGAGTAGCGAAGTGCTTCACCAAAATTAATGAATCCCCCATCCCCAGCAACCCGGAGAGATGAGGAAGTATTATCCACATTTTACAGGTGGACAGCTGAGGCACAGAGAGATTAAGGTCAAAAGTATCTACTAATTTTGGTGCCCAATACGAGGCACCTAGGGCCTGATAAGCATTATATAGCACTTTCTATATTCAATCACAGCTCTCACTGACCAGCTGCAGCAGGGCGTGCTCAGCACTTCCGCCCAGGGTCTCCAGTCAGGCATCCCCAAAATGAGGAACACACAATCAGTGGCCACCTGTTAACAATTGGTTTGATTTGCCCAGCATCGCACAGGAACTCGGCCTCAAGAGGCAGGAATAGAATCTAATTGTCCAGGGCAGCATTCAACGGCCTTTCCCATGAGACCCATGCCTTTCTCTTCTTGAAGCCCCCTTCCTCATTCACTAGACATCTTCTAACCTCTGCAACAAAAGAGACAGGGTCCTGCTAATTCCAGCCTCCTTCACTGCACAACCCTGATTCATTCCTAGAACAGGTCCAGCCAGTGCACTGAACCAGGAAGGGATCCTGTGCAAACAACAGTATGTGACCATGTCATTAAACACTGTACCATAATACACATGCACAAGGGGGTCACATATTTGCCGAGGTTTAAAAAAAAACAAACCTGAAAGATCAGGAATTCCTCTCTGTGGCATATTGACACCTACATGCATTATCAGCAGGGCTGGAACTGTTAGATTCACCGCACAGACCTCTGCCATGGGAGCTCATAGAATAACTGGCAGCAGTAGTGGGTTGTCATCCTCTATATGGCTCAGAGGGGGATGAGGCCCACACTTTGCCAGATGCTTGCTGACGGCAGAGGAATGAGCCTCAGTAATCTTGTTAGTCTCTAAGGTGCCACAAGTACTCCTGTTCTTCTTTCAGTAATCTTGGGTTCCAATCCAGGCTCAAGAGGGGCGTGTGCTCTAGTGGCCACAGACTCTTCCCATCATTGCTCCCAAGCTTGACCCCTTCTCCCCTACCACCACCAAGCTATTCCTGTCTCTGTCGCTTCCCCAGCCCTGGCTACTTGTTCCAGTCCCATTCTCCTAGCTACCCAGTCGCCTCTACTGCTCAGGCTTCTCATCCCAGCCCATCTCCTTGCCCAGCCTGCACTAGTATCCCTGGCCCCCACTTTCCAAATCCCAAACTCTCCCCCCGACTCCCAGTCTCACTCACACCCAGTCACAATTCTCCCCATCTTGCCCCAACTCCTCTCCCAGCCAGTTCCCTCTCCCAGCTCCACATCTGAGCTCCCTCTGCTTCCCATCCCCATAGGCTTCCACTCCTAATCTCCCTCCCGGGGCTGCTCATTTAAATTCAGTCTCCCCCTCCCACCCTTCTTGCCCCAATCTCCCCCCTCTCTGGCTCCTTGCCCCATCTCTTTGCCCAAGCAGTCCCAATTCTCCCACATACCAGCTCCTTTTCAGCTGTCCCCCTCCCCCTGCTCCCTTTGCCCTTCCCTCACTGGTCCCTAATCCCAGCCTCATTGTCCAGCCAGTGCCAGTCTCCCCCCTCCCCACCAACTGGCTCCCAGTCCTGTCCCATTTCTCTCCCTGGTTCCCAGTCCTGTCACCCAGTTGGTCCCAGCATCCCTTCCTCCTGCAGACCCAGGTTTGCTAGATTCCATGTCACCAATTTACTCCTTCCCTTGCCCCAATCCAGCTTTTGTCCCCTCTGCACCACATCAGACAGCTTCCTCTGCCAAAGTGCCTGGATCCTGAGAGCACGAGAGACAGCCTCTCTGCCCCACCACACCTGGCCTAGAGCAGCACTCACAGGGCAAGTCCAGCTTTGTCCCAGCAGCCCTAGTCTAGCAGCAGCATGCACAGCTGCTCTCTGGGGATGGCACACGCAGTCTGGCCAGCACTAGGAGCTGAGAGAGCCTCGAGCATGCTCAGTGAGGATGGAATCATCAGAGATTTAGCTGGCAAAACTGAAGTCTCTGGGTACATGCAAACTGCAATTTTAAAAAGAAACTTGACCAAATGTGGACAGATTTTCACCGGGGTGGCAACAGGCACATCCCTGACACAGAGGCCATGCCCCTACCAAATTTCAAGTCCCCCTTCCCAAGCACGGGGGCGCTAAAGCTGCTCAAAGAAAAGGGGGCCCAAATTGTTTTTAACATGGACTAAACAATGTACTTTCCCTTAGCCTCATTCTCAGAAACAGCCAAGCCATTCTGACTGAAATTTGCCAAACGCATTCAGCCTGAGGCAGACCTCTGGCATGGAAAATCTCCATCCAAACGGCTAAAGCTTGGCAAAGTTATAAAGCAACTGAAAGCAGGGTCTTATATAGGGAGGTGTCAGCAAATCTTAACGATAGGAGGTGCTCCCCCACCACCTATAATAGCCCCTCAGCTCTTCAGCTGGGATACATGAGGGCATCCCCAATGAAGTTAATCACACCCACACACCCACTGACATAGCTGAGAAGCCCAGTGATTTAGATGAACCATGGGTGGGGCTGAGAAGGCAGGTGGGCCTCCATGGCCCATTAGATTCTCGCAGCCTAGTTTCCCCTTGCCTCTAGCTTTCTGGCAGGAAAAGCTTAGGGTCACTGGCAGGTTCCATGCTGCTCAGGCAGGTATTTTCCATTCACCTCAGAGTTGATGACCCCAAACACATACTTTAGAGGCATCCGCTCATGGGAAACCTTGGCTTCAAAATGGCCACCAGATGCCCAGGAACAGACCGGCCAGTGTGTGAGAGCGACAACCATGGGGGGGAACTCCCATTTAACTTCACAGTGCTCTTTGCAAGCAGCTGAGGTGGCACCCTTGACCTCACTGGCCCTGGAACCAGGCTGCAGGGGAGGCTTTCTGATGGATAGAGCAGGAAATGGGGATAGCTTTGCTGCAGAAAATTGTGGATCATCCTTCCCAACCAGGGATGCAAAAACGATGGGAGAATCCATCTCTGCCTCCGCTCATGCCCATCCCCTTCTCCAGCAAGGATGCAAGCAGCTTGGGAGTTAGTAGTTGAGGGTCACATCTGACCTGCAAGTTTCCCTCCTCACCCTTGGCCCAAGCAGGCGCAACATCCAGTTACAGATACTTCCTGACTCCTTTGATAAAGCAAGGCAAGGGCAGGGGGGTGAGATCTATGAAGTTTCCTCTCCCTCTCCTGCCTCAACAAAATCTTCTGGGCCAAACCCACCCCGGGGGTAACCCCACTAACCTCAATGGAATTAAGCCAGGGACAGCTCTGGCTCCAGGGGCTTATGGCAAAAGACATGCTGGTGACAGTGGTACAACGTTAAAGATAACAACAAGATGCCCTTTGGAGCTGTGCCTCTGCCATAACCAGGACCAAGACCAGGGACCACTTCCACTCAAGTCTATGAGCTCCATCCCCACAGAGCCTCTATAACCGCACTAGGCCATTTTCCATCTCTACAGCCACCTGGACCCACTGTCCATCTCCAAGAGCTTCAAAGACCTTCTTGGGCCCATTGTCCACCTCCACAGCCCTGCTGCTTGGAGGTTGTTGAACCTTGTCCATGAAGGCATCTTGAGGGGAGGATAGTCCAACGATCAGCAGGCTCCCCTAAAGAACGGTTGTGGTTGGGTCTCAGGCACCAGGTGCAGGAGAGGAAAGGCAGACAGGAGGGCACAAGGACACTCAGAGCCTCTGCCTTTGGATCTTCTGAAAGACAGACACCTGGTCCCATCCCCTCCCCACCCCCTTTAGAAGCTGAATTTGGGGTGTGGGAATAAGCTGGAGCCTGATCTGTGGTGAGAGCGGGGGAAGGATGGCTGGGAGTGGGGAGGAGGGACATCCATGGAGCCGTACGGCCAGCTCTGGTGTTAGTCACATGCTATAAGGGCCAAGACACCAAGAGCTGGTGCTGTAATAGGGCACTGATAAGCAAACATCCCCTTAACCATCGATAAAATTGCGGGAGGGTGGGGGAGTTCACCACCCACCTCATCTGTCCACACACTTGTTTGGCAAGCGTCCCCATTGCATCCCTCCTAGCTGCTCAGATCCTGCTGGCTGCACTTCCTGTGCAGGGAGGGTTCATTCTCACAAGGGACCAAGCCCTCCAACCCATCCAGCAGAGCACGTTAGCACCTGCTTAACTAAGTGCAGGAGTAACCCCATTGATCTCTAAGTTAATCACCTTACAGGAAAGAGCCCTTCACCTCCTAGGCCCAACTCTCCACTGCCCTGCATCTTATACAGTCATTTCCACCGGGGTAGTGTGAGTGCAAATGGTCACCATTGGGAGCACTATGCACCCACTTTGCATTGGTGGAAATGAGCACCAAAGGTGCAGGACAATGGAGAATCAGGCCCCTTTGGGCTGCACGGGCCAGGAAGAGAAGGACTCCTGGGAATAAAGTGTATCCAGCCCCGTGAGGAAGCGAGCCCTACATAGCGACACAATTGCATCTACCCTGTGTGTGGGGGGGAGGGGAGGGGGAAGATGGTTACGGTGAAGCAAACAGAGCAAACAGGCTGAAGCTGCTGTCCTTCATGGCCAGGGTATGCAGCAATGGTGACACAGGGGATGGGATGTTCAGTGTCTCCTATAGGACATCCCCCAGGAGGCTACAATGGTCCGAGAGGACAGTCTGCTAGTCTGTGGCATGGGGCATCGTTTGTGCGTCTCCTCCACTTCCTGTCAGTCAATTTCTTGTTCGTTGCCTGAAAGTGAAAGAAAAGTGGTGAATAATCAATCCACTGACCTTATGCGGGGGAGAGGGATAAGGTGACAGAAACAGAATACAGAGAAACCAAGAATGGCTCCCAGGCGGGTCAAAGGGCACAATCCACACTATTGGGCCTATTGGGTGAATGTTAGGTGATGAGTAGGACTGGTGGGAAATTTTATGTTGAAACTTTTTTGGGATTGGGATTTCGACGTAGTGAAAGTTTTCACATAAAGTGTCTATTTTCCATAGAAAAATTCAAATTTTCATTTAAAAAAAAAATGAACGCCAGAAAACCAAAATATTTTAATTGTGAAATGCCATCATACTGCTTCATGGGAGTGGTAGTTTGGATGCCTTGTGTTCCCATTCTCTTCTATGGGCCAGGCTCCCCAGCTGGACTTCATCTCCCATGTTGCCCCGCAACTACGCTACTGCCATGATGGATCACCTCCCCTCATCAGGTAGTTCAACCAGGGATTACAACCTACAGAGGAGAATGGGGATGAGGTACCTGAACTACAATTCCCATGTGCCACTACATCAGCATTTCAGAATCCCAGTATTTCAGCTTTTGGACAAAACACTTCGGATATTGATTATTTCCACCAAAAACTCAACAACACCACCAAAAACAGTCCTGTGCGCCAGCCACTAGCCCACACTCCTGCCCCCATCCCAGTTAACAAAAATTGTCAAGAAAACCTCGACCAGACCAATACAGCAAAATGGCTGATGTTTAAAGTAAAAGATAAATAAATCCATCAGTTCACCCATGTCAATAAATGACCATTCAAATGTAAAGCAGCTCAACCGGTGCCCTGGGGTTCATGCTTATATCACTCATGCTCTGCTAAGATTGGTACCGGATGAATGTTTTGTGCAGAAAATGCTTTACGAGTCTCCATGAAGATACAGACAACTCACTTAGCATTCCCAGCCAGGAGCTGGGCCCCGCGGGCATGGGAAGGGACTGAGGTAGGTTTTAGTTACTGTAAGGCGCATGCATTGAAGGGCATGGAACTGTTGCATTGAGCATAAAACGGGGAGTGACGTGAGATCTAGTGCAGTGGTATGCATCCTATCCCATCCACGGCCCCTCTTCCGTAGCAGGAGCCTCTTAGGAGCTACCACCCATCCCTATGGGACTCTCTTCCATTGAGCAATCTGGAAAGGATCAGGTGGCTTGCTGCGCTGTGACCCCCAGTGAGAGAAGATCCCAGAGTCTAGCGGATAGAGCAGGGGACTCACAAGAGATATTTCAGGCTCCTTCACTCCTGTGTTGGGAGACCCTGTAACTTCACCCATCTGAAAAATGGGGATATTCACACTTTCCTTCCATGTGTGTAAGGAGACTTCCTCGATTCCCCTTTCCAATGCTCTCCGGGACCCTCAGGAGAGAAGAGTTCAGGGAGTGCAGAGTATTGCTATCATACCTTGGCACACTGTGGATCCAGAGCTCATGCTGCAGGGCCATAAAGCTTTTCCTCCAGCACTCTCATCAAGCCAGGTGATGTGCCACGGGGCTTGTCTGACCAGCATTTTTACTGCATCAAAATCCACACATCTCCTGCCATAGAGGGACCACCGGGAGGCCAGCGCAGAGAGCAGGGTTGCGCGCCTCCTGCGAAATGCCAGGCATTTCCAAGTGCTTTATGGAGCATTAGACGCTGGCACTGCAGTGACTGCACTGGCAAAGGCAGCAGCTATTGTGTGGCCAGTCCACTGTGAGGGCCTGTTTACACTGCAGGTATGGACGGTACTCCTGAATGTGAACAACCCCCACCTGGGAGCAAGTGCCTCATGCATAGGAGATGCAGCCTTTTGTAATGAGGCTGTGGGTTCAAACCCCACGTGGGCCGGCAGCGCCCACAAGCTGTTCTCCTGTGGCAGCTTTGCAGCGGCCTGCATGAAATGTGTTGGTGTCTCAGGACAGTTCTCAGTAACCTGGTTCCCACATCACAACTGGTGCCAGTGATTCCCCGCTGGCAGCCTGGGCTGGGGGCATCATGGAGGCCAAGTTCCTTTCTTCATGCTAGAGGTGAACCTGCCTGGGCAGGTGAGCATGGAGCAGCCTGCACCACTGCTGTCCAGCCTGGGCCTGCTGCTGCCTTCCGACTTCAGGCCTGATCTCCCTCCTCACCACCGGATTCACTTACAAAGTGAAAATTCTTAATCTCAAAGTGGTCATGGGCCTGCTCCTGGGAGATGCTCAGCTCCTGGCACACCCCTCGATGTCAATGTGGGTTCCAGATGCTCAGCATCACTCCGGATCAGGCCCCACAGGCCTGAAATGTGGATAATCTGGAGGCTGTTGTGCAGAGCTTCAGTTTTACATGGTCATTTTAGATTCCCTCCATCCTATAACCCCAGACCAGTATGCCCAGGCTAGCACGGGGTGGGTCTTTGTCCCTCTCTAGTGGGTAGTCCCCACACACAGGCCGATGAGCCTTTTACTGCTGGCCCTGACAGCTCTGCTCCTTTTGTTCAGGCAGTAGCAGCACATGCTTTTTCAATCCAGCCACCCAGAGTCCGATCCCTGTGGACAGCCCCAGCAGAGTGGTGTTACACTATGCTACACTACATTCTGCAGTCCCTGCCCACAACCTTCCCCTCCATACACTGGAATCTCATGCTTGGAAGCAGCAGATGCTTCCAGAGACACAAAACCAGGAAGCAATGAAATGATGGCCCAGTTCTGCTCACACTGGTGAATGAACTGAAGTCGCTGGAACTGCACTGAGTAAGTGAGAGCAGAATCAGACCCGATATTTGCAACCTCTGATGAAGGCTGGGGTTTCTTAATACAGGACAGAGACACAAACCTCAGAGCTCCAATCTGGAAGTGGACACATTGACATCCATGTGATTAACAGTGTGGGGACCTTTCTGGCGTGACCGGAACACCCGAGGTTATCTCTGCTCTGCAGGGGCTTGCAGAAGCCCAGGGTGATCTTCCCCAGGTCTCTGGCCAGCCCACAAGTTTCATGGTTTGCATGGGATGCAGGGCTCCTAGGCAGGCCCTTGCTTTGCCTGAGCTGATGAGGGACGGTTGGCATGTATCAGCTGACGTCCCACGCAGCTGCAGAGCAATCCCCATCACTGCTCTTGGCTAGCAGCAAATTCTGCCCAACTGTGACGCTGGTCTGCATCCGAGAAAAGCGCTTTGCTCTAATGATTGGCTGTTTGTTGGAATGATTTACAACCGGCAGCAGCTTAAAAATATGGCTTTGGCACAAGGTGGCTTGTGCCCAGTGTCCTGGGTGAGCAGCTTTCTGGCCTAGCTCAGCCAGCAGGCTGGCACCGGCAGACTGCCAGCTGTGACAGCAGCCCTGCAGCACCCAGACACTGCTCAGAAGGTAGGACAGACTCTTCTCTTCTTGTCATGGCTGTTAGTGGGTTTGCAACTGGGTTTGTTGGGGGGATTTTCATCCCTTGTGCTCATGCTGGAATCCCCTAATTAGCTGTCTCTGTATGGCGAGCAAGCACAGTCCCTAAACAAGCACAGACACACGTCCATGGACTCACTGCTGTGCCCAGCTAAGAAAGGCTGGACTCCTGCATGGCACGTGCTTGTAGGCCCACCAGGTCTGAGGATGGGAAGGCTGGTCACCAGCTCCCACACCTTCTCGGTTAGAGTTGGTTTTCTGGACTATAACAATATTGCATTCTCCCATTGCTGCTGCAGGCCATGGAACTTAAAGGGATTTACCTAGATGAATATTGCCCCATGGGAGGTGCTATCACTGTCTAATTACATATGGAGAAACCAAGGCACAACGCTGGTAAATGACTTGTCCTTGTTCACACAGTGATTGAGGCTGGAATAGACCCCAGGAGCCCAGATCCCTGGTGTGGGCCATAAGCACCCGGCCATCCTTCCTCCTCCCATACAACACTGGAACAACTCCAAGACGTTTACAACAAAGTGACATCTTTAATTTGGAGTGTAGTGCCACGATTTGAACACTTCCCCCTGAGAATCCAGATGCAAGATACCGAAGAGCACACCCAGGACGCAGGGAAAACGAGAACACAGGTAGGAATAGAGCTCCAGCCAGCCGTGCAGAGGACCCCATCCCTCCTGCAAGCTTCCCGCAGGCCTAATCTTTCTGATGCACCCAGTGATGGAGGGCACCAATCTCTATATTTGTTGGAGACCCCAGCTTCCCTTAAAGTCATATACACCTAAAGGGAATAATAATTACAATACAAAGTGCCCTATTTATGGTGCGCTGAGCCAGCACTACCTTTCATTTTAACCAACATTCTGCGATCCGGTGTCTGCAGGCTGTGTCGACGGGTTTCCCTAAGCATTGGTTTGTCTGGCAATGTAACGGTTAAAAAGCCAGTCTCATTCAGCCATATTCCAGAGGAACTTCTCCTTATCACACACTAAGGCATAGAGACAGGGAAGCAGGAGCGGGTGACGTGGTTTGTCAGACAAAGCCAATGTTGCAAAAGTATACACTGGGCTGCCAAAGTATAGAGAGTCAGTGCTGAGAGATTTCCCCCCTCATTCCCAGAGGCTGAGCCTGCCCACACAACAAGGGCTAGCCAGAGAGCCTGTGTGCATGTTGAGAAAGAGAGTGTATTTTCAAAGCTGAACAGGGTACAGCACTGAAAAATCCTCATCAGCTGGAGAATCCTAGGAGATGCCATTATTCATACTACATTTCTGCTGAAAAAAAGCAGACAGAGAGGATGCAAAGGGACTCCTCAAAGCTGAGGGGTTAAGCAAACAATCTGGCTTGGAGATGAAAAGTGAAGAGGCAATGAAAACAAGCACAGACTGTTTAGGCTTGCAGGGGAAAGATAAGGGGGGGGGGGAAGAGAGGGAGAGAAAGCAGAGTGAGATAATGCTCCAGCTAATGGTGTGAAGGAGAGTAAGAAAAGATTTTTATAAATCCATAAGGACAAAATGCAGCACTAGAGAGAAAGCAGGGCCATTAATAATGGAGGAGAGGGGTGAAATTAACCATGACTTAACAATAGCTGAGACCCCTGAACTGCTTTAGGAAAATCTGTCGTTAACACCAAAAGAAATAAATGTTGATGACTGAGAAGAAAATCTGCATGTGCAACCCAAGATACCTGGACCCTAGGATATTAAAGCAACTTGCTAATTAATCAGGGGAAGATGGAAGGAGAAATTTCAAAGGCACAAATGGGAGTTAGGTGCCCAACTCCCATAGATTTTCACTGAGAGTTGGGCATCTGGCTGCCTTTTGGCCATCTCCTCCAGTGCACCTGGGAAATGATTGCCTGTATCACAGAGAACTTGGGAAGCCAGGATATTCTCAACAAAAAGGAATGAATGAATGAATCATTCTGGCAATTACTGTCTCATTAGCCCAGCTTCTAGCACTAGTGAAATGATGGAAATTAAAACAAAAAGTCAATAAATAGCTAGAGCATAATGGATGCATGAGCAATAAACTGTGTTGGATGTTGGGAAAGAATAAATCTTGGCAAACCTGATTGCTCTTTTTTGGGGAATTACAAAATCAATGGACGAGGGGAATGCAGTAGATATAAATAAAATACACTTGGATTTTAGTAATGCAGTTAATATTGTATCTAGCAAAAAAACTGATTGGCTTGGGATAAAATCATTGATGTGAACTGAAAAGTGGCCAAGAAACCACAAACAGAAAGGGTAGAATTAAATAGCAACTTATCTGTTCTGGAGAATGTGTTTATGGCCTCCAAATCTAATCTGGTCTAATTTAACACCTTCATTGCCGATCTGGCAGTGAGAGCCAACAGGGTGCTAATGAAATACACAGCTGACACCGAACTGGGAGAAGTTGCAAACACCATGGAGATGAGCAAATATAGAAATCAGAAGAGTGGGCAGAAAACAATCATCCAAATCCCAGATACACAAAGCATCCAACAGATGGTTGTGGTTCTGCATTAGGCTTTAGGTTGTTGGTTTTAGATAACCTACAGCTCAGATCTCCAAGTGTCCCTGCTGGGCTAAACAGCCAGTTGGCTGTAATAGCAGGTTGGTTTCAGAGGTTTAAGGGTACAGAAGCCAGTGGGTCTGCCAGCCTGTGTAGTTGTTGCAAGAGACCCTGTATGCGAGTGCAAAAGGAGAGAAGAAATGCCCTTTACCTTCTTTGTTCTCTGTGCTCTTCAGAGGCTGCAAAGCTGTTGGTGAGAAGAGAGAGAATTCTGTCATATTTGGGCCTGTGACCATAGCATGCAGCAAACAGAGCATTTGAGCAGCAGAGCATTCAGCCACACTGGGCCCAGATCCACCAACTCGTCAGGGCACCCTGGACATGCTCTTCCTCCCAGCCCTCCTCCAACCCAAATGGATCCGTCTCTTCCTCCCCAGTGATGCAGTGCTGCCCAGCCGGTTCTGCACTGCCCCTGGCTGCCCTGCTCAGGACTCACTGAGCTGCCTCTGATCAAGGAGCCAAGCAACCTGATTTAATTGTTTTGCAAACGGTCTTTGCCTGCTCCCCCACAGTTTGTGATCCTGCCTGTTTGAATCCCAGGTCAGTGGGCAGAGCCCAGGAGAACAACAAAAGCCTGCCCCCTCAGGTGAGAGAGGGGCCGCAGAGCCCAGACCTCAACTGAGTACAGGTCAGATAATCAAAACAAGGGACCCAGAGGGGGATACTGAGCAGAGCCTCCAGCCTGACTGCCCTAGAGATCACATTCTCTACATACCCAAAGAAGGGGCAGCAGCAATGCAAGATTCCCCCAAGCTGCCCCTCTTTTATGAACCTGAGTCCAATTCTGGAGACATCAAGCCTAGGCATGAGTGGAGAGTTTGGAATCCCTGGTCTGCTCAGTCGTTGGCTTCTCTAATTTAGTTTGCTAACGAGGGGGCCTATCAGTGCCAATTATTAGTGGTGGGATTGTGATGGGGATGATTAGGAAATGGACAGAGACCCAGCCGTATCTTTGAATTATAGTAAAATCCAAGATCTCCCTTCCCCTCCACTCACCCCCTGTAATTTGTAATGAGAGCAATGTCTCCTGAGTGTGGTTTCAGGAATGCTCTAGTAACTAGGCCATTAATAGATATGGCGCTCAAGATACGGAGCTGAGTTTGCTAAACACTGGCAGTGATTGTAGCCTGCACATGGCTTCCTCTGGGCAGCTCTTGGCATCAGCTTTAACAGAAGTGAATTTCCTGATCAGGCAGGGACAGGGTGCTTCGTTCTGACTACAATCTCCCCATACACAAATCCCCCCTATGGAAACTACTGTCACAACATGAAAAATGAGGACAAACGCCAGGCTGTTGCCACATCTTCAGCCTCCAAATTCTGGCACTGAGGCTCTGGCAATTAATTGCTGAAATTTACAGAATAGATATGAAATCAATCTCCTGTTGGTTTGGGGGGGTCAGGAGAAAGGACTGGGCTGGAGGAGGGGAGGCTGCGTGGTTTATCTCCCACCATTAATGAAAGTAGGGGGGAAAAATCCATTTAACAGTTCATAGCATTTATCAGCCTTCCACAGTAATTACACTCGCCAACTTCCACCACCAATCAAAGCCCCAGCCCTTAAATCTCACAGGCAGCTACAAACATCAAGAAGCCTGCGGTGGGAGCATGCTCTCTCCCAAGGAGAGATTAGGCGCAAGCCAATCTGTATTCACCAAAGCTATTGTTGTGCTAAGAGTAGATAAAGGGAATCACCAGGCATATTATTAACTCATTTGATTACAGCAGAGCGCCACTATCACTTTTTATTAAAAGCTAACACAGCTTATCTCGGCCCTGCAAAGCTGCCAGTCTGCTCACAGCTTGGAGGGGTTCACTGACAGCCAGCTGGCCTGCCTCAAAGAGTCGTGCAAGATGGCACAGGCGCCAACATGAGACTGGCTGTGTTGGCATGCGTGTGATCATGCACAGGACACTGCACTTCTGTGTGAGACTATGCACATTTTCATTGCATCAGTGTGTACGTTTGCAACAGTCCATGTGGGCAACATGCACAACTGTATGCACATACTTGGCAATGTGTGTGCATGTGCAAGTGTATCTGTGCGCATGTATGCAATATGCATTGACAACTGTGTGCACATGCTCATGCATTAGTTTGTACATGTGCGAGCATGGGCTCTTAAATGGATGCACGACTGTGTTCTTATGCTTGTGTATCCATGCGTGCACATGGAAGAGTGTGTGACACTATACATGCACGTTTGTCTGCACATGCCCATGCATTAGCATGTGTATGTGTGTGCGTGTGCCTTTATATTCATGCAGGACTGTGTGCGCATGCTCATGCATCAGTGTGTGCACATGTAAGTGTGCACCACCCTGTGTATGCACATGCTTGTGCATCAGTGGGTTCACATGCCACAGCGTGCATCATTCAATGTACATATGACTGTTTGCTTATGCAACGTGTGCATATACCAGTATATAGAGGCAGAACTGTGCATATGTGACATGTGTGTTCCAGTATGTGCTCACGATATGTTGTGTGCACACCCAGGCTGTGGCACATCGGCTCCATCTTCCAGGTCAGATATATTCTCTGACTCAGGGCTGGGCAGCTCCTTTTTTCCTTTTCCTCTTGTGAGTTTCATACAAGAACATACCATGTCTCATCTGCACTAGAGAAACTACCTCCTGCTGACCACAGGGTCAGCATTGGGTGCAGCCGACCCAGCAAGGGTCACTGTTTAAGAGCAAGAACTGTGTGTGGCCAGTCACAGTGCTGACCAGGGTCCACTTTCAACTGTGTGTTCTAGTTGAAAACCGGATGCCTGGCAACCCTACTGAGCAGGTGGACAGTAAGAAACAAGCCAGGCAGCACAGAAACCAGTGGGAAGGTGCAGGGAGGAATCAGACTCAACCATCCATTCCAGCCCCCTCCACGGGGTGGCCCCTGGAACTGACGCAGGAGGCTGGGGTGGGAACACAAGGACCTACCTTCCCAGCATGCGTGTTGGTTTCTCCTTTAGCAATCCCAGCCCCAACATGAAAATCAGTGCCCCAGCCCCCACCCTGTTCATCTACACAGAATGTGAGCTTGGAGATCTCACCAACCTGTCTTGGGTTCTCCACCATCCTCACTCTGCTCCTCCATCCCTGCAAAACAAAAGCCATGTGTGCATGAAGCATCCGGAGATGCGCAGAGAAATCACTGAGCAAATGGGGAAGGGTTGGTAGGGGAGGCTCTCAGACCAGCTCTACGGATGGTCCCCTGTCCCATCCCACAGCCCTCTGGCTATTCCAGCCCTGCCGATGCCCCTAGGTCCCAACCTGCAGCCCTATTATCCCAGCCCTTCCCTGCCCCCACAGCTTTGCTGATGCTCCTCAATCCTGGCCCACAGCCCCTCTTGCTATCCCAGCCCTGGACCCCCACTCATTATCTGAAGGGGGAGGACTGAGCAGAGGAGAGCCCAACGCCAGCCCTCAGGAGCCCATGCACCTGCAGTGGGAATGGGAGAGGGGAGTATTTATATGTGACAGTAATGGGCGTACATTCTCTGATACAGATGAGACAGGCAGGAACTTGCTGGGGATAATGGCTCATTAGCAGCTAACACGAAAGAGGGAGGCTGTTTGCAGGTTGTGTCTGTCTGACGGGGCAGACACCAGCTGTGTGTACAGGACTCTCCTTGAGGAGCCTGCAGAGAAGGCAATTTTAGCCTCTGACAGCTGGTCAGTCAGCCCCAGGCTGCGGACCCTGTGATCCCAGCCCCAGACCCTTGTCCTGTCCTAGCTGTGACGCACTGTACCAGTCTACACAATGCTTTGGTGCTATGGCCATTCCTCTCCCCATCTCAGTGCAGAGCTGGGCCTTGGCTGAAGCAGTGACCAATAAGTGTGATCCCCTCTCCTTGGAGTGCAGAGGAGACCCACCAATCAGTCTGACGTGACACAGATGCCTGGCTGCCAAACAAAGGATCTCCCGCCACCAGCTCCCCTATTTATAGCAGAGCTGCCATCTGGAGCTGCGCTCTTTGAGTGGCTTAACAAGGCTCAGCATCCCCAAGCAGAGACCTGGGGAGAGGACAGGTCTGGCGAGCTCCAAAGGGGCCTAGACCCAGGAAAGTTCCGATCGCTGGCATCTGCTCTCCAAGGTATGCTCCTTCTGCTTCCATGCACACAACACATCGTGAGCACATACTGGAACACACGTCACATATGCGCATTTCTGCCTGAAGATACTGGTACATGAACACGTTGCATAAGCAGTCATGTATGCACTGAACGATGCACGCTGTGGCATGTGAATCCACTGAGCCACAAGGTCAGCATGCCACCTTCATCCTTCTCACTCCAAGCCTACCGCAGCAGTACACGACAGTCACACTAGGCTGTGCAGTCTCCAGCCCTTAGTATTTGTCCTGTGGGGCACCGTAAGGGCAGGACTGCATCATGCCATTGCAACATGTGCACAGCCTGCTGTGACACTGCCTCCACACAGGGCGATAGGCCACTGCTACTGACACGCTGTAACAACTGTCTCCTAGCTGACTCACCCAAGGCCACAGAAGAGTCCTTATCAGAGACACTGAGTTAGAACCCAGGAACTCCTGGCTCCGCAGCCTTGTGCTGACGCTGCTAAGCCACAACCAAGCTGTGACATCACCCTGCTTTGGTGCTGCCTGGCAGGGCCCTGCAAATTCTACACTCAAGACTGACCCACCACTTGTAACACCCCTCGGAGTGTCTATGGGATTGCACCTGCCCTCAACAGAACAGACCCTGGATGTGCACCCTGGCTGCTCTGCAGGAATCCACCCTGACAAGTCTCAGAGAGCATCCTTCGCATTCCTTCCCTCCCCTGGGTCCTTCACAGGGCATGCCGCTCCCTCAACCCCACCCCAGCAGCCAGACTGCTGAAATGGCACGGGGCATGCCGAGATGGCAATGTCACCAGGGTCTCACATCAGCCCTGGAAGGCTCATGTAGCAAGTAAACAGGCCAGCAAACTCCACATCTATTCCATGACACTAATGCACCGTTAAAGAGGCACTACCAAAGTTAACAGGCCCCCAAGGGCAACCTACACTCAGGAGCAATGCCAGCTTTTCTGCCACCCTAGGAGGCGGAAGGTCCCACCCCGAAATGCCACCCCCCACAGAGGCGGCGGAAGGTCCCGCCGCTGAAATACCACCACGGTCGCCACCCCCCAAATTGTAGCGCCCTAGGCGACGGCCTAGGTCGCCTAATGGGTTGCGCCAGCCCTGCCTACACTTATTGCACTTAGGAGCATTGGGATTGCCAGACTGGATCAGAACAGAGGTCCAGTATCCTGTCTGCGACAGTGGCCAGCTGCTCCGGAGGAAGGAGTAAGAACCCCACACAATAACTGTGAAATAATCTGCCCCCACATTACAATTTACACTGATCTCTACCAGAGAGAAACTGGCTGAAGTACCAGGTGTATTATCCCTTCCAAAATTTGTTAGCATTAACTAAGATAACTTTGCATATTTTTGTTATCCATGTAGACGTAACAGTCTCTTAGAAACAAGCTAAGATCTTGGCCTCAACAATTTCATGTGGCAGAGAGTTCCACAATCAAATGATACAGTCAAATTTGTGTGGAAAAAAGGATTTCATTTTATCAGTTATAAATTTGCTCTTTTAATTTGGTGGAGAAATGAAACATTTTTTGCTGTGTATGCTAGTGGCGGCATGTTCAAATCCCACCTAATCTGCCACAGAAGCTAAGAAAATGGCTGGCCCTGTTGTGTAGGGTTATGGCAAAGGTGCTGGGTTTAAATCCCAGGGCAGCAGAAATGAAAAATAACTATGACCCGTGTTACACAGAAGATTTGACTAGATGATCTTAATGATCCCTTCTGACCTAGTAATCTATTAACAATTTCATTGATTGTCCCCTTGTTCTTGTGTAGGAGATGATCCCTGTCTACCTTCTCTTGACCGTTCATCATGATTTGCTTACTTCACTGGCAAAAATCACTCTCATCAGTCATGTAGAAGCAGCCCACCTACCAGGAGAGCCAGCCGAATTCTATTCTGCTTGTGCAACAACAGACTCATGAAGCGAGTTCCGTCTGTAGAATCTTCTTCATCTCTGGCTCCAAGGTTGGAGGAGGAGGAAAGAACACAGCCAAACTTCCCATGCCTGGTGGAGTTTGCCGTGGTGGCAGCTAGAAAAACCCACCTTTTTTTGCCTTGGCAAATTAAGCTCATTGGGAGAACCAGTGGGAGACAATAAGTACGGAATGCCAACAAAGCTGGTTTTACAGCCACTCTAAATGTGCAACTGCACTTAAAGGAACAAAGATCCCCTTTTCATACAAATGCCCTTCAGAAATAAAGAGCAGGGAAAAGGACAAGGATGCAGAAAATACAGAGCAAGGGGGAGAACCGTTTTTCAAACAGGGGCTTTCAAAGTGCTTCCTGCGAGACATCGGCAGGGCTTTAATTAATTCTTTCCAAGCTGAACACACGCGGGCAGGGATAAAGGAACAAGAGAGGCAGAGCATATAGCATCTGTGTCTCATGCTATTTCTTTGTGTCTATGCGCTTGACATTTCCATGCGAGCAGCGGCACCGGAGGCAGCAAACAGGGCGGCTAACAGGGGAGTTTGAGAGGGAGTGTGCAGGGGGGAGGTAAGGGGGGAGGCAGGAGGGCGCGGTGTGGCG